CCATGATTATTGCAGACATATTGCGACGATAAAAATTTTTGAAACAGATAACATGAAATTGGAAATGCGAAGAAGCCAAGGAGATCCTAATCTATACGGAACTGTAAATTTGAAATTTTCTTTGTAAATTCCTCAATTTCCTCCCTTATTTTGCAATGTGTTACCATAGATAACAAAAGTTTTCATGAATATCGAAAAGTTTTCTTATGAGTGCGAGTGTGATATTAATTCTAGAACATGTTTTGGTGCAAATCTTTCCTAAGCAGTCATGGGAAAAGAAAGTCCAGAAAAGGGTTTTTCTCGTTCTCATCCAGGAAAAGGAAGTTCATTTCCCTTGTATTTTTAGCGCTTTTGATCTGGTACTACTGTTTTGTCACGACGCTCTGCATAATCTGTAATTTGGGTTTTCTCAGGGTTTTCACATACAGAGGCAGAAACTTTTTTTCGTATCTAGAATACTGCCTTGAAAAAGCAACAGTAAGGCACTTACAGTTCGTTTCAACCTCGTAATGGCTGGTAGTGACAGTCCAGCGACAATGGCCATTAGACTATTGAAGTTTCCGATCTCACAGCATTCTTTCGCTACGTCAATGAGAAATTCAATCACCTGGAATTTGATGAAGTTCTTTCAAATTCTGCAAAGACTCTACTATCTTTGAATTTGTGGGTACCTCGACTCTATGTTTTTTCCGCAGCTGTCTCAATACTTCCGTAGCAGCGAAAGATGACAGCCTATTGAACCACTCGATATAGTAGGATATCGAGCCCATGGCACCATTCTGAAGAATTCTCATCATTGCAGATTACAGTGACAGATTTCTTAGCGCTTACCCTATTTCGCCCAAGTTCGGCCAAATCATTGTTTGCCAGCGCTACCAAGATTTCATCCACTCCTACCATGCTGAATCTCTCCTAAAATTAAGCGATAACTTGATTTTTATTTGGAAAAAAGGAATAAAATAAAAGTTTACCATCTCGATATGAGTCAGCTGTTGCGCTATGGTCAACGGCTCTGGACACACCGTAATTATACCAGACTGAAATTTGCTTATTATTAGAATTATTTTGACTAACTTATACATGCGCTTTCTCACACTGCGACCAGATTCAATTTGCCGATAAAACTCTGCTCTTGCACACACTTGTTTTTATGAGATACAAACAAATTTAAAGTATACAAATGCATGAGTTAAATTTGACATTCTCTACTGCGCAGCAGTGTTCGAATAGTGTTTCATGGAACTAAACTAGCACTATTATTTACCGTGCCGAAATGCAAGCGAAGCCTAAGACAACTAACTTTTTACAGTTGTGTACGTTAGTCATTTTTCAGATTATGAACCTGAGCCTTTGTTTGATAAAAAAATCGATCTCTGAAGGGTTGACTACT